CTCTAGGGGCCCCTGGCCCTCCCCGGAAGACATTGGATGTCTGTGCATTGGGAGGGGCGCGCCAAAGACCCTGGGCACCTTCTCAGAGAAGAGGGAGAAAGCAGGGCCAGGCCTGGGAGACAGGGAAGGAAAAAGGCAAGGGCAGGGTACCCTCTCATCTGCAGGTAAAATTAGAAGAGACGTCTGGCTGTCAGTTCGCCCAAAGGGGCGCGGCTTGGTGCATCCCCGTGGCCCTCGCTCAGGGACTTAGATCACTGTAATTAATTACCAGGGGCCCTGTTTCTGTTCCCCTAAATGCATCACTTTGAGGGAGGGAGAGAAGTAGGCAGTCAGCTACTCCGTTCCTCGGACTGGAGGCACTGCCCCGGTCGGCTGCCTGGAGCCCCCAATCCCAGAATCCTAAACCGTCCTGGACCACGGAGTCGGAGGACAAGGATGGCACTCTTTTCGGAATCCCAGAAAGCGGAGTCCGCCTCTAGCAGGCCCAGATAGGTGCCTGGTGGGGATGGGAATAGCCTCCCACCCCCATGCCTCCTGCTTGCCCCTGACCCTGAGCACCCCTGCTGAGGGAGAACTCTCAGGCACTAAGAGGTCTCTGGACCCGGCGCACCAGAGCGGATCTGCCCTAGGTTCCTGCGATGTAATCAGATAGTCCAGAGAGACGCCGACCAACCTAAAAACAAAAACTTTCTCCCAAGGAGTACCTTCCGGTGGAAGAATTTATTTAAATCAAAACCAAAAGAGATATAAACTTTTCTCCCTCTGCTACTCGGAAACGAGCAGGAATGAATCATTAGGAAATTGCTCTGGAAACCTGTAATTACTTTTAAACAATGACCTGTGGTATTGTAATAGTCTGATCCTTCCTGGGAGTAGCAATGACCCCAGGAGAAGTGGGTGATATCTCCATTGGATGCAGAAGGAAAGGCGTGGAAACTCGAAGTACTCTTTCGGATGGATACCTCAGACCATATCAGCCTCCCAGCCGTGATAACCGTATAGTAGACGCTGGACGCAATCGGGGTTTTCCGGAGTAACCATATCTGGCTAATTGCCTATGTAGACAAGAGTTTACAAATCGAATAGGCTGAAGACTCCGAAGTCCGGCATATTCTGTTGCCCCGGCTTATTCCAGAGGCTGAAGTTCTACATAAACACCACTTCTGAGATTCAACCCTCTTCAAATATGGTGCCCGCCTCCCCCACCTCCTTAGTGGCAAGGTCACTGATGCTTTTTTGCCACCGCAGCAGCCTCTCCAGGAGCCCATCCCCGGTGGAACATCTGCACGTTTCTCCCTTGATCTCACGCGAAAGTCGGCTTCCGCGGGGGATGGGCCTCAGGTAGGCGCCGGGCGCTGCCCGGGCGAAAACAGTTGCTGAGCATCTGAGGCGGAAAATCCAAGCAGATGTGGGGAGGCCTGAGCCCGCCCCTTTCCTCTTGGGGCCTCACTTTCTTCCAGATCAGTTTCCTAATGGAAAATTTCTAAGAGGTGGGGTTTATGCGAAGGCGTGCTTGTGCACCTCGAGGTGCACTCAGGCGCCGACTTGGAGTGGCGGCGCCCCGTAGGAAGGCGGCGAGCTGGGAGCTTGCTGGGCTCAAGGTGTCGGACTTCTCTTCCCACCTGCCCTCTTCCTGCCCCCAGCTTCCCTTAATTCTAGATTCTGCAGGCTCCTTCCGGGCCAGTTTCTGTGTGAGGCCCGGGACTGGGGTCTCTCGTTGTATCTATGCTTCTCCCCTGCTGGCGCATCTGAATGCTCTGAGCGAGCACTCCGGTTTAGGTCCAAAGATAGACCAGAGGCACTTCCCGCAACAGAAGCCCTGGAGCAAGGGACAGGCAGCAGGTGTCCCAACCCGCAGCCACCGCGGACGCTCCTGATTACTCTAATTAGCACTATTTAGTGCTCTTTTCAGTGTGCAGAGAGCTTCTAGACTGTGGATTCTCGTCCTAAGAGCCCTAGGGGCCTCACTTTTCCTCCTGTAGGGAGACACCTGGGCGGGCCCCAACCAGGCGCGTGGTGGAGGTGTGTGTGTGGGGGGGGGAGGGGGTGTCTTCCTTCACTACCCCACTCAGACATCTGTCCCTTCTGTCCTTCCCAAATGGGAAACCTCAGAGTTCCCGCCCAAGTACTGTGGGTGCTTTCGGTGATGCTGCGGGGGACTTTAGGCCCATCGCTGTGCGCGCGCGTGTGTGTGTAAATGTGCTGTTGGGGTATACAGTGCCTGCCTGGGCATCTACTAGGGCAGATTTTGAGTCTCGAAGTGTCCCACACCCACACATCCGCGAGTCTTCAAACGCTGTTATGCTGGCTCTCAAACCATAAGCAGCTGCCACTGTGAAGACCGAGAGCAAGATCTCAACCACGCTTTCCCGTAAAATCCGGGAAATTTGGTTTGAGAAAGTTCCTGTTCTTTATACTTGCCGGTTTTCTCCTACTTCCACTTAGGCATGTTTCTGGGATCTGGGTAATTCCTTTCAAGCCCGGGAGGAATTCTCCCGGGCCCATAATTGAGGCTCGGAAATCGTGGGGGTGAGGAAATTGTTAAATCCTCCCGAAGCCAGGGAGGTGCCGGAGCGCACTCGGAGGCCTGCCTGTGTGAGCTGCGGCGGGGTCCAGCCCGCAGTCTTTTTCCCCTTGGAGCCTGTTCTCCAGGAAGCCCCAAGACGACAACCGTTGTCTCAGACCAGCTCAGGGCTCGAGGTGGGCAGGGAAATGGGCTGGTGCCCCGCTTTGGGGCATTGCGTACCCGCGCCGCTCCCGCGCCGCCCTGACCCTCTGCGTGAAACAGGAACACGCTCTTAGAGCCGAAACCCCAAGGGCAAGTGGTCCTTCCTTCATGCGCCCGGCTTTTGGTGCCCCCGCAGTTCGGTGATTTCGGAGCACCAGCCCTCGGAGCCAAAGCCGCCGCTTTGGGTTCTGCTTGGCGCCGGGACAGGTGGGGGCCAAGCCCGGTTCTGCGTACACTGTCCCTCCCACCGAGGGAGCTTCGACTCCTCCGACGCCTTCGAACTTCTACCCTTCAGAGGGGTTCTTAGGAAAAGGTCAGGAGAAACTGCTGCAGGTGGTCGTAGGCCAAACCATGCAGGGGCGGAGGAGGCAGGCGGGTACCGCGTCGTTGTCCCGCTCTGTGCAGAGCGGCAAGTTCCTGCCGGGCCGGGCTAGAGAGAGGTGGCACCCAGAACGAAGATTCTAGGGCGGAACCCCGGGAACCTGGCATCTTCTCCTCCCCGAGCCGACTCTAGATCAGGCGCCCTACACTCTTCTGATCTGGCCGAAGGATCCCCAGTACCCCGTGCCCTGCTGCTGCCCTCTGACCCCATGCTCCGGGGAAGCTGGCATCCTCCCAACACGCGTGTCCCACCGAATCTGGAGAAGTCAGACTCCTGTAAGGGGTTGGGCCTTGCGCAACAGCCGCGGCGGGGGAGAAAGAAGGACCCTCCCAGGGTTGCAGGAAAGAGAAAAGGGGGACAAGAGGACTCCTGCGGTCCCGGAACGAAAGCTCTGGGATGCCCTATGGCCGCGTCTCCTACTGCGCCTCCCTACTCCAAAGCCTCCTGCCCATCACCTTGGCCCCTACCAATGCTCGCGCAAGGACCCTCGGCCTGAAGCACCCGTCCCAGAGGCGGTTCACCGAAATTCCGGCTGCGCTGAGTCCGGCTGCCGGAGAGCGGGCCGCTGGGCCCTGTTGCAGCCGCTGCGCTGCGCAAGGCCTCGCCGCTAGTCTCGGCTCCCTGGCCCCCTCCTTCTGTCCGGCCCGCGCCTCCCCGAGGCCTGAGGCACCTCCGGGGAAGGCGCTGATATTTCGCGCTCTTGTTTCCGGGGGAGAAAGGGCAGAAGGGTCACTTCTGAGCCCCTCTCGCGCCGTTTCCTGGGGGGAGGAGTCTTCCCTTCTGGTCCCCCCCCTTTTCGGCCTCGGACCTGAGCTGTGGGGAGGCGAAGGCGCACGACCAGCGCTGTCCCGGAGGACTCGGTCCTCCCTGGCGATGCACTGGGCCGGGCGGGCGCGCCGCTTCCCGTCGGCCGTGCCCTCCCGGGGCCTGTTGGGCAGCCACAGGGGACGTCTTGGCATCCCTCCCTCCCGCCTTCGCCTTCCCTTTTGCCCTTGACAGCGCCCAGGTCCCGCGATCGGCTCGCAGGAGTCGGTCCCTGCCGCCCGCCATGTGCACTCACCGCGACTTCCTACAGGCAGGGAGCGCGCGGGTCTCTCTCCTGGGGGTTCCCTGGAGGCAGCGACGCGGAGGCGCGCCTGGGGCTCCGGACCGCGGCGGGGTCCGGAGGCAAGATTCGCCGCCCCCGCCCCCGCCACGGTCCCTCCCCCCGCCCCCCCTCCCGGGACAGCGGCGGCCGAGTGCTCCGCCCGAAGGCGGGTCCGCCATAAACAAACGCGGCTCGGTCGCACGTGCACCGCGGAGCTGCTGCGCCTCGAGACCGATCGCGGGCTCCGGGCGCCGCGTCTCCAGGCACAGGGAAGGCAGGAGTGTGTGCCGCGGCCCGGCCCCAGCCGCCACCGCCCCGCTGCCCTCGGCTCCCCTCCCGCTCCATGGCTCAGCGGCCGCCGCCGCCCTCCAGCCCGGAGGGGCCTTTCGGCAGCGGGTACCAGCACCCTGCCAAGGACTAAACAGCACGGTCGCCTCCTCGCCGGCCTCACTGCCCCCACTAAGGAAAGCCGAGGCGCGGAAGACCGGAGGGACGAAGGAAGGGAGGAAGAGCGGGCAGAAGCGAGCGGGAGTCGGGGCTCTGTTCGCTGCGGGACAGTCCAGCCCGAGGAAAGCTGCGCCCCGAGCGGCGGCGGCGGCGGCGGAGTGTGGAGCGGCGCCTTTGGCGCGCGCCGAGCTCGGGCCCCGGCGGCTGCCGAGAGGGGTCTCGGTGGCCCAGGCCGGCCCGGCGCACCTGCCCGCGGCCGGTGCCCCAGAACCACCTGGCCCTCGGCGCCTCCTTCCCCATCGCCGCCGCTGCAGCTGGAGCGGGGCTCCGCGGGCCTGGAGCACGGCTGGTACTAATATGCCCGTAGCCGAGGCGCGATGAAGGAGAAGTCCAAGAATGCGGCCAAGACCAGGAGGGAGAAGGAAAATGGCGAGTTTTATGAGCTGGCCAAGCTGCTCCCGCTGCCGTCGGCCATCACCTCGCAGCTGGACAAGGCGTCCATCATCAGACTCACCACCAGCTACTTGAAGATGCGGGCCGTCTTCCCCGAAGGTGAGGCCGCTGGTGGGCAGCCGGAGCGCTGGGAGCCCGGCGGCCTCGGCCCAGGTGGGAAGCAGGAGCTGGCCCGGAGGGGCCGCCTCATTCTCCCGGCCAGCGCCAGGGTGTCTTGGGGAGGCCATGCCAGGAGCTTCGGTTCCTGCTAGAGAGGGTTCAGGGCCTTGGCAGCCCGGCCACCAGAACATTTCCTGGCCCAGGGCTGAGCACGAGTGAACCAGGAATTATTCTGGGAGAATGCTAATCCATTTGCCTGCCTTTCTGCCTTCCCTGCCTTCTTTCTTTCACTTCTTTAACTCCCCCTTTTATTATTTCCTTCCTCCTTTACTACCTCTCTCAGCCGTGTGCACCCCAGCCAGGAGTGAAGGGCCCTTGCTGCTCATGGCTGGGGAAGAGTAGAATGCTTGGAGAAGTCCAGGCCCGGAAGGCCCAGCACTGCAGAGAGGAGTACTTGTGGGGAGTCAGGACCTCAGCCTTAGGCCTCTCGGGCTGCCTCTTTTCTGCTCACCTTCCTTGTGACAAGGGTTCAGGATGTCAGGATAGGAGAGAGGAGAGTAGGTGAGTCCGGCCCCAGCAGGAGAGAGAACGGATTAGTTCAAAAATGGTAGGCAGGCCTGAGTAGTCATCTTTCCTGGATTAGAATTATAAAACAAGACAGGCAAATGCCATGGTGGGCAAGAGTCACTAGGCCCCACCAGTCCAGCGGGCTCCAGGTGGTAAGAAATGGTGGCACACTGGGCAAGCATTCCCTGCCAACCTGCGATCTGCTGGTGACTGTGGCTGCCTGGCCGGACACCTCCAAGCAACAGGGCTGGTGGAGGCCTGGTGACCACAGCATTCTTTTTGGTGTCCTGGTGGTTCTGTATTGATCGCCTTCCAGGGTCTCTGTCCCCAGTCAGGGTGGCTGAGGCCTGGCATAGGAGATTCTGACATTTGGTTAGGACCCTCTGCTCTGAGGCCTCTACTCCAAAATGGAAGACTACGAGACCTCCCCTAGTGGAGGGGCCACTAGGGCTGTTTTGGCTTCTGGAGCTCCGGAAGCTGGCAGCAGGTAGGGAGACAACTTCAGTGGCAGAGCATGTAAGGGGCTGCAGTGCAGTGACAGGTGTCCCTTGGGTGCAGGGCATCTCTGTTGAGGCAGTCCCTGGCCAAGGGATCTACCCAAAGTCAATAAGCTCCATCTTTTGCGTTAGTCGTCCCTAAGCCTGTTATTTGTAATAGTCTCTGGGTCTTGAGCTGCACCCCACAAGCCTCCGGTGGAGCGCTGAGGGCCTGTCCACCAGCTTGACTTCCAGCCCTGCAGCGGGGATGGCATGGGAGGTGAGGGGGCCGGAAATGGTGGCCTGGCCTCCTGCGTGCCTCCCTGCCAGGCCTTACAACTGCCGGGCACTGTCCTCCTAGCGTTGGAGCCCGAGACCCACCCACCAGTTCCTAGTGCGCGTTCTTTCTCTTTCCAACCTCGATCAACCAGGTGCCCGCTCCTCCAGCCCCTGCCGTGGGAGCTGTCTGCTGGGTAATCAGTATTAGTCTGCCCAAGGGAACCCCTCCACCAGAGAAGTAGAGATGATTCCTCCCTCTGAAGTTTCAGTGAGAATTAAAATTAGGTTTTATAAGGGCCAAGTCTCCTCTGCAGCCAGGGACAAGTGGCAGTTTGCTTGGGTGAGCAGTTTCTTAATCCGCCTGCTGCAAAGTAGGCAGAGAACCAGGACAGGAGCCCGCCGCCCTTCTCCTCCCCTTTGGAAATGAAAGCGTTAGAAAATGATAAGAATAATAAATGGCTTGTTCCTAATTATTTCAGATAAGCCAGATATTAGTTAGACAGAAGGCCTGAAGAAAAGGAGTAATTGTAAAGCCCTTTGTTGTTTGGGGGATTCCCAGGAAAGCCTGCTGCAAATTGGGAAATGGTGCGGGTACTGCTTCTGCAGATACGTAAACTAGGTCTGTGCCTTCTAGTCTGGGAAAGGAGGCTCCCGGTGTTTTGGCCCCCAACTGCTCGGCTCTGAGCCCTTTACAGGGGTTGGTTGGTGGGGGGATCCAGGACTTGAGCATCAGGCCCCTGTGCTTTGTTCCCACGCCGCCTGCTTGTGGGGCGGCCTGTGAGTCTCCTGGGGGTGACCACGGCGGTTGGAACTCCGGAAGAGGTCAGGAGTGCGCTGTTTGGCCCTAGAGTTTTGGAAGTGGCCTCACTTGGTGGACCTCTGAGACTCATTGCAGGGAGTTGGAAGACCTGCATGAGTCCAGATGGATCAGCGATTGGGAGGAGGCGGAGGTCTTGTCCCGGGCTCATTGCAGAGCCCAGCGGGGCACGCAGCGCTGTCCTGGAGCCTTGGACTTGCAGCCCAGGGATTCCTCCCTCCCTCCGTAGAGAGGCTTTGGGCCTGCAGCTCTGGGTGGCGGCCCCGTTCCCCTTAAGGCAGTCTGGGGCAAGGAGTTGTGAAGCCAGATGCCTGGGGCAGAGAAAGGTGCGTAGAGAAAGACCTCAATTATGCAAAATAACTTGCTTACACTTTTGGTAGCCCCAACGGGTGTGGTGCGGAAAGGGCACAGTAATTGACTTAATCTGTTCTGGGAACTCAGTCTGCGCACAGGTGGAGGCTGTAGTGCGGTGTGGGACTGGGATGGGGCCTGGAGGAGCCTCCGGGACTAGGGGGGACTTCAAGGTCAAGCCCATTCTACCTGCGGCGGGAGCTTTCTGATCTGCTCCTGCTCTCAACTGCGAACCGAAGGATGCCAAGCGGAACTGCTGGGCCAAGGGCGGTCTTGCTGTTTGATACCCACGAAGCAAACGGGATCCCTGGGTGAAGAAGGATCTAGAGGCCAACTGAGGATTTACGGGGTCAGAAAATGAATAGCACAGCTCGAAGGAGCCACAGGAATGCCCGGACTAACCTTCATACCTGAGGAAACTGAGGCCAGAGAGAGGCAGGCAGCAAGGGCAAGAGCAGGCGGGCGCTGCCAGGTGGCCAGGTGCCACCTGTTCTCCCTCCACAGGGGAGTGGCCGCTGGCCTCAGCTTCTTTCAACCAGAGATCAGGGGCGCGGGGGGTGGAGAGAAAGAGGACCCGAGCTGGGAGGAGTCTCGCGCAGGGGCTACAAGAGGCCAGTCTGCAGGCTTGGGTGGTGGCAGTTTTTACAGCTGATTCAAAAGCTCTGCTCTGTTAAGCTGCCAGCCTAGACCTCTGTCTCCTTGTCTGTAAAATGGGCCTGTTAGCAACTCCATCACTGCCCTGGGTTCCTGGAATCAAGTGTGAGGAACCAGCTGGTGCAGGTGGAATCTAACCTGTTATTACCCCCCAGTTACTCCTTCCTGTGAGCTCAGGGAGTCTCCTGGGCTAGAGGTGGTGTAAACAGCAGAGTGCCCCACTTGGTGACCTCTGGGACTCACTGCAGGGAGTTGGAAGACCTGCTGTTTTCGGATACTGGGGACTAAGAAGTGAAGGCTGCATGGGCAGGAAAGAGGGCAAGAAATGGTGGCTGGATTTGGAAGTGGAGTTGGAAAGTTAAGGGGTGATTGGGAAGGCTCCATACATCCAGTGCTCAGGAATGTGTTTGCGTCCGCCTGCCTGATTTGCAGTGTGGCCTTCCCTCCTGGAGAAAGAGGGCACGTCTAAAACACAGAAGCACCTGGGGTGGGCCAGCTTCGCTGCTCTCTGGCCATAGCTACATGATAACCAGGACACAGGACAAGTTCTGCCACTTGGTAATCTACACTGGGCCTGCAGGAAGCCTGCAGGGGCTCCATGGCCAGTATGGAGGGTTAGGCCCCTTCCCTGGAGCCAGGATTCCTGTGACCAGCAATGGGGCGGAGAGTGGCATCCCTTCTGGCCCTTGCACACAGGAGGGACTGTCCTGAGGCTCCAGGTCAGGAACGGAGTGGGAAACAGAGGCTGACAGTGGAAAGGAAAACAGAGCCAATCCTCCCGCTTTCCCAGACCTGGACGCTCAAGAAGGGGAAGGGACTGTGATATTTATCACAACCTTTATCTTAAAAGAAGTGGAAACATCATACACACACAAGAATACGTGGAGTTGGAGGCCTGAGCCATTCCAGTAGTGAAATTTGTCTGGGTTTAAATTCAGACAGAACCCCCATCCCAACACATAAACACCCCTGTCTGCTCTGCGGGGAAGGGGGCTAGCCTAGAAATTGTCAGGAAGAGAAACTCCTTGATTTGGAGGGCTTGGTGAAGAGACACTTGCCCTAAACCGACATGGGATCACAGATCCAAAGCCTTTCTGTGCTGCAACCCAAGAGAATGTCGATTTTTAAAAAGAGACTTATTTTTTAGAATACCGTGGCAATTTAAACCTTCTCCGCATCCTTACTTGGAAGCCTGCCAGGCAGTGCACTCAGGTCCGAAGGCTCCCACTGTGGAGTGGGAAGCTGTGGGCAGTGGTGAAGAGGACTGCAGGGGTGCAGGCCCCTGGTGGTTCCAGGCCAGGAACAGGAGCACACACAGGCTGCAGGCTTAGCCCCCAGGGGCTGGATCCAGGACGCCGCCCCGGGTGCTCAGGGCACTAGCCACGCTTGCTACTCAGTGTGGGCCTCACAGCCTCCACCCTGGGCCTTGGAGTCTAAGCCTCAGGCGCTGGGGTCAGGGACTTCCCTTTGTTGTCTGAGCATGTATAGCACTGGCTGGGGGCCCTGGGAAGGCGATCAGTACAGAACCACCAGGACACCAAAAAGAATGCTGTGGTCACCAGGCCTCCACCAGCCCTGTTGCTTGGAGGTGTCCAGCCAGGCAGCCACAGTCACCAGCAGATCGCAGGTTGGCAGGGAATGCTTGCCCAGTGTGCCACCATTTCTTACCACCTGGAGCCCGCTGGACTGGTGGGGCCTAGTGACTCTTGCCCACCATGGCATTTGCCTGTCTTGTTTTATAATTCTAATCCAGGAAAGATGACTACTCAGGCCTGCCTACCATTTTTGAACTAATCTGTTCTCTCTCCTGCTGGGGCCGGACTCACCTACTCTCCTCTCTCCTATCCTGACATCCTGAACCCTTGTCACAAGGAAGGTGAGCAGAAAAGAGGCAGCCCGAGAGGCCTAAG